GTTTTTTCACTGTTTGTTAAATTTTTTTTTCACATTATTTGTTGTTCACGTTATTTTAATATATGTTTTTTTTTTCTTGTATGTTTAACTACCCATAGTGCCGTCCACTCGAAGGACCATAATTATTTGCTTAACAAATTTATCGGGAAGCACATACCTTTCCCACTCTATTCAAATTTTAAAAATAAAAGTTTCCGTTGAACTTAGTATTTTGACCATTTCGATTAAACCACAAGTTTATTTAAAATTATAACAACAATGCTTATGCAAAGTAACAATATGATGTAGACGAGGGGAGCGTTGAGAATCCAATTCCGCGAAACGACTTTCGGATGATGGCGATCAAAATCAGGAGGTATCGGTGTCCAACAGTTGTCAACGAACAGTTGCGCGTAAGATCGCTACCTTGTCGAATGAGGTGTATATGCGAATGATGATGTGGCATTCAGGCCCGTAGACGAAAACGAATGTAAAGATGGTATGTTGTGTTGTCCTGTGTGGTGTCATCTGGTGTGGTGTATTGGTGAGTATGTGGTGGGCATTATTAGGGGGCGCCAGTTTTTCCCGAGTAGAGTGGTGTACTTGGAGGAGGGAGTTTAACTCATTTAAACAGTTTTTGTGTACCAAACTCACATACGTATATGCATTTACATTAACAGGCAAACTATGAAACCTAATTAGTCGGCATTTTTTGATATATTACTAATTGTGTACTTATGAAGTATAATTTAATAAAGAAATAAATTATTCTCCTATTCCTATAGCACATACTGTATATATAATAATATACAATAATAAATTAAATAAATATTTTAAACTAACCTTTTAAAATTTGAGCAAAAAGATTTGCATCATTTTCATCGTAGAATGGTGGATAACCACAGAGTAATATGTAAGAAATAACTCCTATGCTCCACACATCAACCGCTTTTCCATATGGCTTTTGGGCCAAAACTTCCGGCGCTACGTAACCTGGTGTACCACATGCAGTTGCCATAATACCGGAGTCTTCCATCTTCGACAACCCAAAATCACTAATCATTATTTTACTGTCATTATTTGGACTGTAGTAAAGAAGATTTTCTGGCTGTAATATATACAAAAAAAGGTTATTTTTTTACAATTAATTAATTTGACAACAGCCGAAAAGTGCTAAAATTATATTTTTTCATTATTTCGTTATTTTTAGCCTTAAATTGTTATTAATATACTATTATTCTCTAATTCGTGCAAGATTGCACGATTGCACGATATGAAAAAATCGTATACCAAGTGCAAGAGCACAACATTACAAAATTGTAGCAACTTTAAATGAAATAGCGAATTTGAAGAGTCAAACTCTCAAAAATGAAAAAATAATTTTATAAATGAAGCAGCCGCTTTTAATATACCTCCTTCAGTAACTTTTAGTTTTAAATATTAAATAAAGCATTATTAATTTAAAAAAATATAGAATATTGTAAAAAAAGGATCTTTCTAAACAAGATATTAGTGAAATGGTTGAATCATGTATGTATGTATATATAATACGACATCTGGCTCAGGGCTGTAATTATTTTATGTTGACCGATAAAAAGTCAACTATAGGCACTGGGGTTAACATACTCAGTACCTAGGGGCTTGAACAGTTTTGATACAATTTAGATAAGTTTTGGTCACAATGTGGCATACTTTAAACGCATTAGTCACGCAAAGTTTTACCCCGATACAATCATTGTTGCTTGATATGCATACTGGAAAGTGAAAAAATCAGACATAATTGAAAATGGTTAAGCGGATCCCAAGATACGGGTTTTCACCTAAAAGTTGGCGGTGCCACGCCCACTGACTAATTTTGAACGCGGTCCCTATAAAGTCATCTCATACTATCCTAGAGATAAAATTTAATGTCTCTGACTTGTTTAGTGCTTGGTTTATCGCACTTTTAGTATTTTTTAACAGTACCGTTATATAGGGAGTGGGGAGGTGTCATCCGATTTCACCCATTTTCACACTGTAGGTAGAGTTACTAAAAACATTTGCTTCCAGTGAATTTTGTTATTATAGCTTCAGCAGTTTAGGAGATATGCAGATTAAACCTATTAGGGGCGGTACCAAAGATTTTTAACTACATCTGCCCCTCCTTAATGTGATCCTGTGTACCAAATAACAGTCTTGTATTTTATTTCGGAGCATAATTATGGCTATTTATTTGTTTTTGATTAATGGCGTTTTGTGGGCGCGTCAGTAGTCCGATTACGCCTATCTGCAATACCAACCGTCTTACGGTACCAAGTTTTATAAAGATATCTCAATTTTTACTCAAGTTACAGCTTGCACGGACGGACGGACAGACAGTCACCTGGATTTCAACTCGTCTCTTCATCCTGATCATTTATATATACATAACCCTATATCTAACTCGATTAGTTTTAGGTGATACAAACAACCGTTAGGTGAACAAAACTATTATACTCTGTAGCAACAAGTTGCGAGAGTATAAAAAGGTGAGGACGAGTTCGTAGATGAACGTAATCGGACCACCACCACGCCCACAAGACGCTATTAATTGAAAACTTCTAAAATGTCTTATTTAAGCATTAAATTAAAATATAAAACTGCAATTTAGTACAGGGAATTTTAGTACCAAGGGGCACCTGTAGGCTCAAAATTTTTAAAAACGGGCGTGGCTTCGGCCTCTCGAAGGTTTAATGTAAATATCTTCTAAAACACTAACACTGTAATAACCAAATTCACATAGGGCAAACATTTTAAGAACCTCTACCGACAGTGTATAATATTATAACACCGCCCTTTCCCCATAGTACGGTTTCGTTAAAAACTACTAAAAGCGCGATAAATCAATAATTAAATGCGCCAGAGACATTAATTTTACACCCAGGATGATACAAGAGGGCTTTATAGAAGCCGGGGTCAAAATTGGACGATCGGCCTGGTACCGCCACATTTAGGTGAAATCACATATCTAAGGACTTACTCAACCAAATTCGGTACATAACATTATCCTGACGATCGTATGTTACATTGTGAACATGGCCGAAATTGGACTACAACCACGCCTACTTTTATATAGCACATGTTAAACTCCATATGATCTCTTCACTTTCCAGTACATAAATCAAGCACCTATGAATATAATCAGTTCAAACTATGCAAAAATAGTGCCATTGGCACACCTCTCGAGTCTAAAAATTGTCAAAATCGGACCATAACTGTTCAAGCCCCCACATACCAAATATGTGGACCCTGTGTGTATGGCTGACTTTTTGCCGTTACAACTGTGGTGAAAAAGAATATTTGTCAAACAGCTGCAAAAAACAAGGAAGAAGGCAGAAAGTGTTTTAGGTGTTATCGTTTCGGACATATTTCAGAAAATTGTGAAGAAAACAAAAAAGAAGTAAATGCAAATACTCGTCAAATTGTAACAAGCCTTGATCTAATCAATAAAGGTTGGTGACAAATGTTAAGATGAAAGAATTTAAATATACCAAAACTGAGTATACAGTGTGTGTAAATAAAATAAAACCAAATTTAAAATAAGAATTAATCGTGATAGTTTAAAAATTCAAAAAAATCTAGATGGACAATTAACATTATGTGAAAGTGGTTTTAATGAAAATAAATACAGTGATTGACAAATATGAACTTGATATTGGTGTTAAAGCGAATGCAGCGGCTAAACAAAAAGTATACGAACTGATATACCTATAAATATAAACCAATAAAGACTGCTACAAAAGATGTAGAAATGCGAGTCGTATTAAGTGATGAATCTCCAATTTTTTGTAGACCCCTCCGTGTGCTTTTCACAAGTAGCTGTTGTTGATAATTAAATTGATGAATGGCTAAAAGACGGTGTAACGGTGTGTAATAGAAGTGTCTAATTCAGATTTAATCAAAACCGAGAGGGGTCACAGAGACTGTGCATTGATTTTCGTTATATTTCATATGCGACTAATTAGATCGCTTACGAAATGCAACGATTTTTAGCATTATCGACCTTAAAAACGGACTTTTGCACGTTCCAGTGGCAAAATCCAGCAGAAAGTATACCACGTTTGTAACGCAGTCAGTAACAACTTTGAAAAGTAACGTTTGGATTGTCCAATTCTCCAGGAGCTTTCCAAAGGCACGTAAACGCGATTTTTTAAAATTTACCACGAAGGTATTACATTACCAAATATCGACGATAAATTTAAAAAATACGATAATTGTTGTGTATTGTGTATATTAACCAATCGAAAAAAAGACAAACAAGAAGGTTTACAAGTACTAAATCCGTTGCATAAGGAAGAAAACCCACTACATACATTTCTCATAGATTTTTTGGGTCCACTGTAATCAACAAATAAAAGCTATCGGGCTTTCAAATAAGCATGATAAGATTTCTAAATGTCGTTTCGGCCATTTTTAATATGTCATGATCTTTAATTTTTTTTCATTGTATTCAGTAATTATTAAAATTTCATCGCGGAAAGATATTCATACGCCAGAACAACGTTTACTAATTATTAAATTTGATTATCAAAATAATCCTTCTCCAATTGCAAATTTTCGTGCGCTTTTGCGATCAACGGTCGTTATGGTTGTGGTGAGTGGTGCGTAAATAAACAAAACTGTCGATTCTGGTGCGAAGAAAATCCACAAATTATTCATGAACAACCATTAAATTCATCTAAATTGACAGTTTGGTGTGGTTTTGAGTCTGGTGGAAACATCGGTCCGTACTTCAAAATGAAGCGGGTGACACCGTTAATGTTAATGGAGAGCGGTACAGATCGATAGTAACCATCTTTTTATGGCCGCAATTGAATGAAGTTGATCTTGACAACATCTGGTTCCAACTAGACGGAGCAACGTGCCACACATCACTTGCAACAACCGAATTATTACGACAAAAGATTGTAGATTCGATAATTTTAAGAAATTGTGACATTGAATGGCTTCAAGAAGTTTTGATTTAACACCATTAGACTACTTCTTTGGGGGTTATTTGAAGTCATTGGTCTTTAGCAAGAATCTCTTCAAGCTTTATAAGTCAATATTGAACGCGCTATTCGTGACATACGACTTTATTTAGTGAAAAAAGTACTCGAAATTTGAATGATGTTATATTCGTATCGATTGTACTTCACATTAAATAAAAAACATTTGAATTTCCTTAACAATTGCACATTTTAGCAGTGGTTGACTCATTCACTAAGTTTTGCTGGCTGTATCCTTCAAAATCCACAACGACGTCCGAAGTCATATCAAAGCTGCAAAATCAGAGCATAATTTTTGGAAATCCAGCAAATATTATCTGCGACAGCTGCTTTTTCCTAAAACGACTTCCAAACATATTGTGATAGCGAAAATATAAAACTATTCCAGATAACAAGAGGGTTACCTCGCTTGAGCGGGCAGGTCGAGAAAATAAACGCCGTCATTATTTCAGCCTTATCGAAGCTCAGTATAAACCCCAACGAAATGGTAAAAATATGTAGAGAGAGTTAAACAAACAATTAATTCGACATTTTCATGACGTATAAACCCAACGCATTTTGAATTATTGATTGGCGCAAAGATGTGAACAAAAGATGATACCCAAACACGTGATCTTATCCATCAATAAATCACAGAATTATTTAACAGCAAACAGAATGAACAACATAAGCAAGCAAAGTTAGAAATATTTAAATTTCAGCGCGAACAAGAAAACATACAACCTTAAACGCAAACAAGCCCAGCAGTACAAAGTTGACGACTTGGTAGCAATCAAACGCACGCAGTTCGATAGTGGTTTTACACTAAAACCAAAATTTTAGGGACAATACAAAATAACTAAAGTCAACAGCAATTATTCATACGATGTACGAAAGCTTACAAACTCAGAAGGCATTATCAACTCAACAACAACAGCTGAATATATGCAGCCGTGGGTTAAAGACAGCGACGCAAGATTCGGTTCGAATGCATAACAGGATTGCCGATCGTGGGAATGAAAGGGTTAAGGCAGTTTGTAGAAGAGAAGAGATCAACGAGCGGCAAGCAAAAAGATTGAAGACGATCGCCAAAGACGTAAGACGTGTGCTGCGGAATGAAGGT